TACTCCCTCTCAAAATGTTATCACATGGCCACGCGTATACAGTCACTGTCAAGGAAGTCCTACTCACTACCTTCTCGCGAAATCACTGTTATTTATGAAATTGAGAGGATGATAAGTGAATGTTCAGCAGTTCAACCGGGTTGGTGGACATAGAGAGTCCACTTAGGAAAGTTGAAAAACCCTGATTCCTGAAAGAACAAATGGTGTATGAGCCAATTATTAGTCATCGTCCACTAGGATACTACATCTCCTGACATTACTTCACTCTCTTGTAGATCAGACCTTTAGATCAAAATCTCCGTATGTGATCCCCTAACAAAACCCCCTGCTACAGTTTGGGCACCGACAATTTAAATGACTTGTAAGACGTATATATATTCGGCGCCTCTTTGTTCCAATATCCATATGTTCAAATAAATAGAATTAATTAATTAGTAGAGAAGAAATTCAATCAAGATTAAGATAAAATACATTTATATTCTCCTAAAGAAAAACAAATAATTAATCATTATCATTGTTATAATTATGTATAATTAACTTATCAATTATTTCCACCCCCTCCCATAGATGTATTATCATAAGTTCTTTATGCCATGACAACAAACCATCTATACTGGTCTACACTATTCGAATACATAGAAATAATATAATTAGATTATCGACGAATGAATAATTGTCAATTATGAAACATTCTGAATAAAAAGAAGAATTTACTTTGTAAATGATTTATTTTTGCAAACTGTTTGTTTATTCTTCTTTTTTGACAAGAGAAATCTAGACAGTTTATCTTATAAGGTGGTACTTACTTACGCCTGTTACTCCTCGTGAAGGAGCATAGGCCGCTCACCAGCATTCTCCATCCAACCCTGTCCTGGGCAATCCTTTCCAGCTCCTTCCAGTTGTTATTCATTCTTTTCATATCTGATTCTATGTGTTCTTTGGTCTCCCTCTTTTCTATTTCCCTTCAGGATTCCAAGTTAGGGCCTACCTCGTGATGCAGTTTGATGATTTGCGTAATGTATGTCCTATCCATTCCCATAGTCTTTTCCTAATTTCCTCTTCAGCTGGAAGTTGGTTTGTTCTCTCCCAGAGAAGGCTGTTGCTGCTGGTGGTTAGAAGTAATCAACAGGAAACCTTAGGCCAAGGTTCCATGCTACTTGTCAGTAAAGTGTACCTGTAATCTTGAGGGAACTGATACTCCCTGACGGATTCGATTTCGTGCTATCCAGCTTCACAATCAGAGATATTACCACTGAGCTTGCCAGTCCGAGACAAACCTCCTGTACGACTAAGATGTATTAACAATTGATTGATCACTGGATGGTTATCAATGTCATTTATATCAGGTCCTTATTAGTGTAAATCGAATCTTATCGACCAAGTTGCAATGTGGCCACTAGTCTAGGTGACTCAACATGTCGAGACATAAGATTACAACTTCGCATTACAAAACGGTGCTAACAACCACAAAAAACTAGGTTTGATTATTCCTCGCGATTTTCCTTGGTCATCTAAAATGAAAACATAGTCCATTAGATGTTGATTCACTTCAAATGAATAATACATTTGAATTGGAACAATAGAATCTATTCAGTATTAAATGATTATAAAAATCCAATATTATTTGTTACTCAGTAATTAACTAGTGTATGATTATGAACTTCAATAAAACAACATCATTTAGTATACCATGAGAATTAAATCGAATATTACCCCCAAATGCCCTGGTACGGTCAAGAGTGGGGAGAGCCCGCTCTCCCTCTCCAAATGCTCTCACATGGCCACGCGTATATAGTCCTACTTACTGCCTTCTCGTGGCAGGGGTGATGTTTACGAGCATGAGAGGACGAAAAGCGAATGTCCAACGCTTTAACCGGATTTCAAAGCAATGGTGCACATGGGCTCCAGTATCCTGAAGGAACAAATGGTGTATGAACCAATTGTCAGTCACCGGCTACCATGGGACTGCATCTCTTTACGATGCTCCACTGAATTGTGGATCAGACCTTCAGGTCGAAGGCTCCGGATGTGACCCCTTAAGCAAACCACCTACTTCGGTTTGGGCACCCGGGTAGTATCACAGCCCTCACACATGTCAGATGAGATTTGTGTGGCGCATATATATTTGGTGCCTCCTTGTACCAATATCTATGTGTTAAAATAAATAAAAAATCGAATATTGTTGACTTGGTAACTATAAGATCAGTACATATATATATTCGTCTGCCTCAAACATCATAATGACGAGAATGTATATAGAATTATTGGGAATCAGGATTCTTTTACCAAAAATTATGTATATTTCTCATTGTACGAACGCCTTTCTTTGAAAAAAAAAGTAATCCACATTAGCGATGGTATGATTTATTGATTATTCTAGTCACCATGGTAACTCTATCGGCTCCATTTTTTTTGTTTCCCAATTGATTACAAATTCAAAACTAAATGAAACAGATAGAAATGATAGTTCCACATATTTATTTTTAATCATCTAAATCATTTAATGCTTTGTATCTGTATGAAAGACAGAAAATATTGGTCAATAAACAAAGCTGATCACATAGCTCTTTGGTCAAAATGTGAAAACGAAACATTAAATACTTCGGATTTACGTGATGTTGTTTTAGTTGTATCTTCCAGTTGTTATTTAGGACTGTAATTGATCAGTCTCATGTTGGAATATATGCATCCTGTGCGGATTACCTCGATACTGTCTTAATTTACAAGTATTATAAGCAAAGACGGATAGTGGTTAGCAGGTGGAATCCAGTTTGACGCGCGTTTCATCCTATTTAGGACTCGTCAACGATATGTACCTGCATCTCAGAGTTGTTGTTCACCCTGGGACACGAACCCAGTACGCGCTTCTTGGATTCCACTTCTATCCACTATTCATCTTTCCTTAAAATGCTTGTGACTTAAGGTTATTTCGAGGCAATCCTCACAGGATGCACATATGCCAACATGAGATTGATCATTTACAGTTCTAAATAACAATGGGAAGATACAAGTAAAACAACACCAAGTGAATTTAAACTTCACCCGATTGCACAAGCAGATGGCTATCACGACTCAGTAACTGAATGGATAACGTGATAATGTTTGAAGCGGACAGTACTAGGTTCGAGTCTCGAAGTGAACATCAACTCTGGGATGCAGGTATATCCAGCTGACCAGTCTCAAATAGGACGAAAACGCGCGTCTTCGACTCCACTGCTAGCCACTATCCATCTTTGCTTATTAAATACTTCATTTGCAAATTCTCTAATTGCCTCAAACATTATCGTTCCTTGATTTATATTACAATTCCTCTCTTTGATTCAATCTGCTCAACCTTCTGCTACCAGGTATTCCACTTTAAGATGATGTTACATGTTACTAATGTCTGTCGATATAAGTAGCATACGCTACACTAATAGTGAAGATTATCCTATATCACAAAACTACTCGGAATAAGATTACTGGAGTAGAATGTCATTCTTATCAACTAAGTGAATATGTGTGAACAATATCTTTTAATCATAAAGTAGCACCGATTAAAATAAGTATAGTAAGTAATGATAGTCAGTTGTCTACAACGTAGGACCAGGCACATCTATGCATCAGTCCGAATTGCCACACGTCATTAGCACAGCAATATGAACACTAAATTCATATAGGCAGTTAATTTAATGGCAATAAAAAAAACATTCCATATAAGGATATGATACAGGAAGAAAGAATTAGTTCGTAGAAAGAAAGGTAATTTTAGTCCCACTGTTTAAGAGGAGACAAAGAGGGTACACACCGATGCCAGTGTGATCGATTCTAAACCGTGTTACCAAACCATTGGTCGCGTGGACCACAACCAAGTGGTCTGCATCTACCAACATGACTAAAATTAAAGTTAGTGGCTTCAAGGACTGACCGCCACTAATTTCCTCCCAATCATCCCCAACACTAGTCAGCATTGCGCGCCGTGGTAACCAGTGTTCAGGTATACTTAACACGTAGCCCAACCATATCAGTCGAGGAAGATTTACAACCTCATCAACTGATTTATCATCATTCCCTAATACCATACGTCTAACCCCACTATTACGTACCCGGTGATCCCATCAGATGCGAGCAGTATTTCTAAGACATCTGTGGTCAAATACTAGTGACTTACGAGTATCTCCTACACTTGTTGGCCAAATTTCGTCGTCGTAAAGTAGAATAGAACGATCTGCTGCACAGTATACTCATCCCTTAATTAAAAGACGAATATCTCGTCTTCACCATAGTTGGTGACGTAAGTTGGCGTAAGTCAATAAGTAATAGAGACATAATCATAAGATTTTCATTTTACCCTACTATATTTCCACCGCTACATACTTATACCTACGACTTATGGTAGCAACGAAAAGAATCGCTCAATAGAAAAAAAAACGTATTTATTCACCTTATTGCAATTCGTTTTATCAGTTTTATTGGTAACATTAATAATAATAATAATAACAGTAACTGTTATGTAACAATATAACAGGAAATAGATCTCTATTTTCATACAATGAATTATTGGCACAACAATGGAATCAACATCAAGAGAGAAAAAGAAAATCAAAAAGGAAAATAAATAAAAAGAAATTAGACAAACTTTGTAACAAATTCAAAAAATAAAAGAAGGAAACAATAATCGTAAATGGATCCGGATAAGATTAAATCATGACAAGAGGTTAAATGTAGACAATTCCTCGAACATAGATAGAATGAAAAGATAGAGAAAGAGAGGGGGAAGGTAGGAAGCAGGGAGGGAGGGAGAGAGGGGGTAGGGGAGGGGACGGTACGGAATGGAATATATATTCAATTCATAGCATTACTATGATCAAATAATTAAAAAAAAACGAAATAAATATGTACGACAATATGATCTGTATATTTTCTATAAAAAAAAAGGAAAATCAATAATCCCCATGGTGATAATGATGCTCATCATCATCATCATCACCATGGGGATTATTTTACTTGTATGATATATTTCAATGTTGACTAACACTAGAAACTTTACGTTTAATCATATGATTAACTTTTGAAGTGATTAATTGACATACATCAGTTTCAGCTAATAAAGCCGTAGTTGAAATTGATTTATGATGATAATCATTTATGATTTGTTTATCAGTTTCTATATTAGATGAATGATGTCGATGAGGTAATGAATGAAATTCATGCAATGTATCATTATTTTATTAGTATTATGATATGAATGATGCTTATTATGGATTGTTGTTGTTGTTGTCTTGAATGATGTAACCGTTGAAGAACTCGATAAAGAACGATGTAATTTTTTGTTTAAATGTTTATGAAATGATGATAATGATGTAAGTTTTTTTAATTTATTATCATCTATACCATTTATATTTTTTAAACCTAATGATGATAATGATGATGAAGATACAGATGATGTAGATGGTGGTAATGAAGGTAATAATGATAATAATAATTTCAAAGTATATGGATCTGTAGATTGAGATGAATGTTTCAAATTCTAAACAGAGAACAGTAGAAATAACTTGATTTAAATATATGAAAGTAAACAATTGATTATTATCGATAGAGAGAGTATGAGACAAATGTAACTCCGTCCATATATATATGACATTGTCACAATGAGATTCAAATAGTGTAGTATCAATGATATTAAGAACAAATTGAACATTTAGAACGGATAATTATCATGAGCTCATCAGTGACTAGCTTCGTGAAAAAATTCTCGGAGTTCTAGTGAGAAGCTGTGATCAGTGGAGCTAATCCATGTCGGGTAGAGACAAGTATCTACCTCAGTACAATGGAAGATGGTAGCGCAATTTCGTCGATTGCTTGAGGTTAGACATTAACACCATTGGATACCGGCCGGCTCAGTGGTCCAGTAGGTTGAGCGTTCGTGCGCGAGACTGAAGGTCATGGGTTCGAATCCCACGAGCGGGATCGTGGATGCGCATTGCTAAGGAGTCTGACAACAAAACGAAACGGCCGAACAGTGCCTCCGGGTTTCTAACGGTGGTCTAACATCATCAATCTGTTCATGATCTCGATCAAAAACTTAACAATCTCCACAATCTCTAAAAGCTGATATGGAATATAGTTTGTAAGAACAGATTGGAAAGGTATGTATGAAGGAGTACTGGAAAACAAGATCTAGAAGAAGATACAGAATGAAAGCGGTTACGCCATTGTGAACAATTCTAAATCATATCATCAAATATCCTCAACCACTGATTGCAGTTACCCTAGTCTGGATCTACCAACATGGTACAGATCAACAGTTAATGACTTGATAGCCTCATATCGTGTCTTATTTTAGCTTTCTTCTAACCTACTCCTACATCAGCAAACATTCCACATCAAGAGATTAGATGGTGGTTGGACATACATAACAAATATTCTAAACACTTCAGTCCATAAAGCTTTATAACCTCACCAACCGAGACTGAAGGTCATGGGTTCGAATCCCGCGAACGGAATCGTGGATGCGCACTGTTGAGGAGTCACACAAAAGAACGAAACGGCCGTCCAGTGCATCCAGGGTTTCAACGGTGGTCTAACATCATCAATCAGTTCATGATCTCAATCAAAGACTTAATAATCTCCACAACCCCCATACTGCAAATAAACTTTCATCAAAACGAAAGGTTGAAAATCATTTCAGTATTAACCACAATAATCAGTGAATAAAAAAAAAGATTTTGTTTTAATCTGTCAATTCAATAAGCAGCTTTCAATATTCAATATTTTTATAGTTTGATATGTTGTATATTACCAACAGCATTAGTATTTTGTGTATTTTTATTGAACAAATGACAATTCAAGTTAGTTACTATTAACTTCTCTATATATAACTTTAATTTATACATTCAATAATAATAATAATAATAGATCTGCATTTCCATTCCCTCCTCACCTACCTACCCCCCCCCCTCCCATTTATTACACACAATCAACTACTATTACCTCTGGCTACATAATCTACAAAATTGTAAATGTCTATTCCTATCTCTCTCTGTCTCTCTTTTTTTGTTTTAAAACATCATAAACAGTTGTGTGTACACTTGATTTTTACGGTAGAACGTTTCAACTACTGATTAAAGTAACAACAACAAAACATACTTCGTCAACTGAAAACTTCTGATGTACTCTTTACTTCAACCAGAAATTGTTGAAGCTTCAAACTAGTTTTGATTATTAGTATTATTATTATTATAGTTTAAAATCTTAGCATAACTGACTTTTTCACAATTGATTGATCACGGGGTGGTGATCAATGTCATGCATGTCAAGTCCTTCTTAGTGCAATGTGAAGCCATCTAGACTAGTGGCCATATTGCAACTTGGTCGATAGCATTTGATCTGCACTAAGAAGGACTTGACACACACTACATTGATCACCACTCAGTGATCAATCAATTGTGAATACATCTCAGTCCTACAGGACGTCAGTTACGGAACGGATATCCCAGTGGTAACGCCTCTGACTGTGAAGCTGGGAGACACGGGATTGAATCCGTCAGGGGGTATAAGTTCCCTCAAGATTACAGGTAAACCTTGATGACGAGTGCCGAGTAGCACGAAACCCGGGTCCAGGGTATCCTGTTGACTATCTCCAACCACCATCTTATGACTGACTTTTTATGCCTCTATTCTATCTTCTCACTAATTCACTTGTTCATATCAAATCAAACCGAGGCATATACAGGTATGTATAAATTCGAAACCAATAAGTCAAAAACCTTGTTGATTACATTTTCATGCTAATTACTGAAACATGGTAACTAGAACTAATAATATGTTCCAAAGGATATGCTAAATACTTGAGACTAATTAACATCTCAATATGATGCAAGGGATGTCGTGTCATTTAACCTACTAATAGACATATTATAAATTGATCAATAGCAGCAGTAGGTCTCAACATACACAAAGGGAAAAGAAAGATTCTCCGATACAACACAAGACAACATGCAACAATCGAATCACACTTGACGGGGAAGATTTGGAAGATGTAAAAACCTTTACATATTTGGGCAGCACCATTGATGAACATGGTGGATCTGATGCAGATGTAAATGCGCAGATCAGCAAAGCAAGAACAACATATCTACAACTGAAGAACATCTAGAACTCAAAACAATTGTCTGTCAACCAACACCAAGGTCAGGATTTTTAATACAAATACCAAGACAGTTCTACTGTATGGGGCGGAAATTTCCAGAACTACGAAAGCCATCATTCAGAAGACATAAGTGTTTATTAACAACTGTCCATGCAAAATACTTCGGGTCCGTTGGCCATATACTATCAGAAACAACCTACTATGGGAGAGAACAAACCAGATCCTAGTGGAGGAAGAAATCAGGAAGAAGTGCTATAAATGGATAGGATACACATTGAGGAAAACACCCAACTGTGTCACAAGACAAGCCCTCACATGAAATCCTCAAGGTCGAAGGAAAAGAGAAAGATCAAAGAACACAATACACCGAGAAATGCAGACAGATATGAGAAGAATGAACAAAAATTGAATAGAACTAGAAAGGAAGACCCAGGATAGAGGGGATTGGAGAATGTTGGTCGGCGGCCTATGCTCCATTAGGAGTAACAGGCGTAAGTAAGTAAGTAAGTAAGTAATTTGATCAATAGAATTCGGTCAATCGTTAAAAGACATTAAACAAACACGATATTTAATCACCAATTAATAAATAATCCAATTGAAAAAATCCATTTCAACCCTACAAAAAGTCAATTACATTTATTCATTTTAAAGTTAATTAGATTTATAGAAGCTGAAAGTTATTCTACATTTAATCTCATAAATTATGTTAATATTGATATTAAACTGAGTAATTAATGATTGTTTGTACCGTCCTACTTTATAGGTAGGTGTGAAATATGACCATTAAGAATAAAGAATATTCATTAGGCTATTAGTATTAGATCATAGGTGTCTATAAAGCATTGTTTGTGTATTTTGGGGCCACGAAGTAAATAATACCTCTGTTCGGAATAAGGTGTTAGGTAGAAAACAAAATGGCAAATCAATTGGTGAAGTGGTAAATCTCCACTAATTGAGATGTTTGAGACATTTGTTACACATCATCAACCATTATCTACATCGACGAGCGATCTCTTCCGGTGTAGAAGCAGGTTGGAAGAAAGCTAAGGGTGACTAGACCAAGATATGGCATACGTCCATAAAGTCATTACCAATTAGACTTGTTACCAAGTATAAACCACCAGGTTGGAGTCTGAGTGATTATAGACTAACCAGGGGGTTAGGGACTCTGAATGACACGGTTCAAGATCGGCTTTGTCTTACTTTAGATATCGATTTTTGAAATTCATTTCTTCTTGAAAAAAAAACTGTTTATGCCTATTGTTCTCTATTACCACTGATACTGTTTACTACTATCGCTAGTACTTTGGTATCTGTCCTGGTAATTTTATCTCGCTTAGTTGATGTGGTGCCGGAACTTGAACTGATACAAATATGAACAAAATTGTACGTTGCCTAATACTAACTAACAGACGCTTTATTCATTAAACAAACAGTTTATATAATAATAACTGGTAGCTCTCTCTTTCTTTCAACTCATTAGCTCTAGTTGAAATCTTCTACCGTTCATAAATTACAGTTCATTATAACTACAAAATGTATTGTTTAGTTTTATTGTTAAAAATAGTGTTGCCATATGATTATTGCGCCTTATTATTTTTTCAGTTCTATCTACTCAGATAATTGGATTGGTTATTCATTAAGATTTAAAGTCTAAACAACAAACCAGGTACCCACCGACTACTATCACTGATAGATTTACATCTGAGAATTTAAGCATTGAAGTATAGGCATATACAATGTTTTTTTTCGATACCTCGGTCAGCCAGACAGGCTACAATGTAGGATCAGGCACATATATGCATCGGTACAAGTTGCCAATACCTCATTAACACAACAAGATGAACACCGAATTAATAAAAGTAGTTAATTCAGAGGTGGTAATATATAAAAGAAAGATTGCAATAAGGATATAGTATAGGAAGAAAGAATTAGTTGGTACAAAAAAAAGATATGAAGCAATTTTAATCTTATAGTCTAAATGAAGACAGAGAGTGTATACACCGACTCCATTGTGATCGATCGATTCTGAGCCATGTCACAAAGAGTCTCCAACCATTGGTTACGATAGTCACGCGGACACCAACCAAGTAAGCTGCATTTACCAACATGGCTCAGACTAGAAGTTAGTGACTTCAAGCACTGATGCCACGTTTTGGTTTGGCCGCCCCTAACTTTCTTCCAACCATCCCCAACACCGGTTAGCGTTGCACGTCGTGGTAATCGGTGTTCAGGCATACGTAACACGCAGCCCAACAATATCAGTCGATGAAGATTCAAAACCTCATCAACTGATTTACCATCATTACCTAATACCCTGCGTCTAACCTCACTATTACTTACCCGGTGATCCCAGCAGACGCCAGCAATATTTCTAAGGCATCTGTTGTCAAATACTAGTAGCATACGAGTACCTTCAACTCTTAATGGCCACGTTTCGCTGCCGTAAATTAAAACAGAACGGACTGCCGCGCAGTATACCCGTCCTTTTATTGATAGACGGATATCTCGCCTTCGCCAAAGGTGACGCAAGTTGGCAAAAGCCAAGCGAGCTTTTCGAATCCGTGCAGAGATTTCGTCAGATACCAACCCATTAGGGCTGATTAGACTTCCAAGATAAGTGAAGTTGTCAACGAGTTCGAATACTTCACTCCCTATCCTTAGTTCAGGTGTTGACGCAGACCAGTCCTGAAGCAACAACTTGCACTTAGAGGGAGAGAAGCGCATTCTAATCATTCTGGCATTGTTGCTCAGTGCTACCAGAAGACTCTGCATTTTACCTACAATTCAATCAATATAGATGACACTTTTTTTCTCTAAAAAAGGGATTTATAACTATATGAAACGATAGGAAAAAAATAAGACACTTACATGACTCCCCATAGAAGGAGGAAATCGACGATCCAATGTATTTGCTTTTCGATAATTAATAGTGGAAAGGTAATCATTATTATCTAATGAAGTAGACAAATCAAATGATGATCCTATTTCATTAGAATGATTACTATTTGAAAGATTGGATAATGCATTCTGTTCACGTCTTAATGAAATCATCGAATCTAAACGTTGTACTAAGCGTTTATGGGGATCAGTTATTGTTGTTGTTGATCCTGTTGTTGTCGTAGAAGAAGAACAAGCGTTAAGAGGTTTACTGACGTTAGTATTATCATTATTAACTTGTTCTTCATTAGATTCTGATGACAATTTAACACTTGATGTATGATCATTATTACAATTATTATGATGATGATTCCAGTGTTGAGCAGCTTCAGCAGCCGATTTTAAAATACCTTCAAACACAGATGGACGTCGTAAACTATACTCAGCATTTTGATTAATCGGTTTCAAGGTAGATGTTCGATTTAAATGATTTTGTTGCTGCATTGTTGTCGGTCGTTTGAAATTCTCTAATCGTCTAGACACAACTGGAAGCATAACAGGTCGTTTGAAGTCAACCGTTGAATGATCAGTATGCACAACACCTTTCTTACTGGAATTATCTTTAGTGATATTAGAAGAATCATGGGAAACATTTGATGTTCTAAAAACTTTTACTGAAGAAAACACAACATTATAAATGCACAATACTGGAAAAAAAGTTGACAAATTGAAATAATGTCTAGGTTATCTATCTACTTCAGAATATCATACCTAGTTTCATCAACCATTACTCGATCCGATCATTAGTAGCAATATAGAATCGCCAAACTATTACAACTAAAACGTACTATTGAAAGGCATCCATTTTCAATAGTCAAATCTGGTAATGATAAATAAATGTTCACATACTGGGCTTTTAACTAAACACTGTATTAGAGCTCATCAAAATTCCCCACGACGAATTCATTAATCAAATTATTTAAAAAAAGATTTAAGTCTAACTTTAACTAATCCACGAAGTTGCGCCACAGTCCACCATTGTCATCAGTGAGTTGCTATCTCACAAGAGCCCCGGTTTCTCACTAGAACTCTAGGAAATACCTCTCGGAGACCTTCGCTAGTGAGCATATAAAGTTAGACATTAACACAGTTGGATTCCCACCGGCTCAATGGTTAAGCACTCCTGCGCGAGACCAATAAACCCTGAGTTCGAATCTCAAGAAGAGGGATCGTGGATGTGCAGTGCTGAGAAGTCCCACAATAGGACGAAACCGCCATCCAGTGATTCCAGGTCTTCATTGTGGTCTAGATTCAACTGAATCATGAATTCAACTATTAAAATTTACTAAAATCTCCACAAAACCCCTTCTCTGACGATAAAACTAGAACAAACATTGATACAGAATAATATGAATACGACCTTAGTTCATGACTGAATCACTAGATACATAAACTGATTATTAGAAACCTGTTATCCACCTACCAATTCTTTTTTGTTATTGTTGTTGTTTATATCTTTTTTAATCTTTACATTCATCTTTCTTAATCCACATGAATTCTTTCTTATCGTAATTACCTTCATAATAGTTATCTTATTACATAATGATGGTCTTATAACTGTAGAGCCTGATGACAAAGTTATTAAAAACAATTTTATGCTTAGATATTCTTTGTTTTTGAATATTCTATATGGATTCATTATAATTCGTTGTTTCTTATCAGCTGATTAAAACCATATATGTATTGAGAGTTAACATTGTGGTATGATATAATGTAAAAGAATTGACATAGATGAACGAAAAGAATTAGGATGATAAAGATTATCAATGACTACTATATACAAACAATGATGGATAGTGGCTAACAGTGAAATCTAGGACTCACGTTTCGTTTTATTCGGAACTCGTCAGCTGGATGTACCTGCATCTCAGAGGTGATGTTCACTCTGGGACTCGAACCCAGTACCATTCGCTTCAAGTGCCATTGCGTTATCCATTCAGCTACTGAGTCCTGATAGCCACTTGCTTGTCCAATGGGGTGGTACTGGGATCGAGTCCCAGAATGAACATTAACTTTGAAATGCAGGTACATCCAGCTAACGAGTCCCAAATAGGACGAAACATGCGTCAAACTGGATTCCACTGCTAGCCACTATCCATTCATCTTTGCTCAGAATATTTGTGAATTAAGGCAATATCGAGGCATACGCACAGTATGCACATATGCGAATAACAGACTGATCAATTGCAGTCTTAAACCTCAATGGGAAGATACAAGCCAAACAATACCAAGTGAATATATATATGCCAAGATAGGTTAAAGGTCATTTAGTGATAGAATTTATAGATCGGCGGGTGATGCATGAATTACATACGGTCCGAAGATGGATAAGATAGATTACGCAATAAGTTAACCGCATTTGGAGAGGTTCCATAAGTTAAGTAAATTAAATGGATGAAAGCGTATAAGTCAAGAGAGGGTTTTGGTGTACATAAAATAAGAAATAGTTAAGGGCAGACCGGATAAAAAAAACAAAAACTAATAAAATAATGATAATGACAAAAACAATATACCAAGGTGTTGATAACTTTATTATTGTTTCTTTCTGGATACATAAATTAGGTCAGTATCGAGTCACCTAGACTGGTGGCCACATTGCAACATGGTCGATAGCATTCAATCTGCACTAAATAAGGACTTGACACGCATAACATTGATCACTACCCAGTGATCAGTCAATCGTGATAAATCAGGTTAGTGTTCTGTTATCGCTATTGATTCAGCGAACCGAAGAGACATTATGTTTTTCTTTGTCTGTAAGTAATTTGAAGGTTTGTGGAATATCAATAATATCCCCGATATCAAGTAAATGGCAAGCTATTGCACTCTTTAGAACAGTTGCGTCTCTCAGTCTCAAGTCCTTTGAAACGTGTTCAGAAATGTGAACATATACTGTTCTTTTTTTCAAAGTATGTGCTTTGGCACACACATGTAAATTAGATAATGCAGTTGGAGGTACTAAGAAAAGATGACCTGTCAATTTTTGTTTGTTTGAGTGAGCGCTTCGTTTCACATAACGTAGTCAGTCTTGCATTTATCCTGTGGTTAATTATTCCAGTGTTTCCATCTCATTTGATGCATAAATATAAGAAGCAGGTTTTCTTATCCATTGTACCACATTTAACCCGTAGTTTGGTTTCGGTATATTTCTCAAAACAACTGTCAACAAATATCAAAAACACAATCTTCAATAAGAATATCGAGACATTTCTACTGTACGGAGCTCAAACTTCGAGAACTACAACAACCACCATCAAGAAGGTACAAGTATTCATAAATAGTTGTCTATGCAAGATACTCAACATCCATAGGCCGGATACCATCAGTAACAGCCTTTTGTGGGAGAGAAAAAATCAACTTCCAGATGACGAGGAAATTAGGAAAAGACGATGGAAATGGATAGGACAATCATTACGCAAATCATCAAACTACATCATGAGGCAAGCCCTAACGTGGAATCCTGGAGAGAATTGAAAAAGAGGAAAGCCAAAGAATACATTAGGTCAGGAAATAGAATCAGATATGAAAAGGATGAATAAAAACTGGAAAGAGCTGGAAAGAATTGCCCAGGACAGAGTTGGATGGAGAATGCCAGTGAGTGGCCTATGCTCCTTCACGAGGAGTAACAGGCGTAAGTAAGCGTAGTTGTAGTTAGTTTGCACAAAATATTGATTGAAATTAATTTCAGTTGTTTTTAATCGTAATCTATTGTTATCATCAATCAGTCAGTTCTAAGCAACATTGAATCTAGCACAAATGTGTATTGATTCAGGTTTCCCCACTACATAAACACAATCCATAGTGGTCTAGCTTCAATTGACTCATGGTTTCAACTATTGAAATTTCTAAAAAATTCCCACAAAACCCCTTCTGTTAACAAGCAGATAAAATTATAAAAATAAATCTCTATCCCAGAGGAAGTCGATTGCAGTCCCGACTGCTCGGGGGTAACATCTCTGACACGGTATCGATTCTGTCAGAGAGCACCAGTTCGCTCAAGATTACACGTACACCTTGTTGACGAGTGTCATTCATTATTCATCTGAAAATACGTATAATCTTTAAGCAGAGATGGATGGCGGGTAGGAGTGAAATCCAGGATATGTGTTTCGCTTTATTTTGTGACTTGTTATTTGGATGCACTTATACCCCAGAGTTGTTGTTCACTGGCTAGTGACCAATGTTATGTAAGCCAGGTCCTTCTTAGTGCAATTCGAATTCTATCGATCAAGTTGCAATGTAGCTACTAATCTAGGTGATTCGACATCGTATGCAACTGTGTTGAGATTTAAGGTGATAGTTGGAGGTACTTATTTACTTAAGAGGCATATCATGCAAAATCTTTCAACCATTGGTCACGATACCCTCATGAACTCCAACGAGGTAGTTTGGATCTCTCTAAATAGGTCAAACAAATAGCCTATCAATTCATGAACTGATATCCCTAGCTTTCTTTCAACCTACTCCTATACTTTACATTAGTGGTCATATAACACTAAAGACCAAAACAAACACAAGATTTTGGAGTTTTGTTCTCTGAGCTGGATGATTTGGTTATGGAGCTTTCATTATTCTTCTGAACGACATCATCATCACAAACTTCAAGTAGAAATGAAATGTTCGAATTTTAAAATCATCCACCTGAGCAACAAATCTTCTCCATAATCTCAAACACAATATTGTTAATCATTTAGTGATCGATCAATATAAATATCTAAATTCTACAGTAGATCAATCGAGAAATGATTAATTCATGAGTAACTTATTGATCTATGAAGTTGGATGATGTGTGTTCGAACCGAAAAGGAAGCATCAATTTCGTTATGATCATAAGTATGTCTTTTAAAAAAATATATATATCAACTAGCACGAAAGGCAAGTCAAGCATTTCTTCTCGATTTACTTCAAACTGCCTATACTCTGATATTTGGGAAAATTATATATGAGATATGTTAAGTGTAATAAATTGAGTAGATGACAGGTTTACAGTCAGACAAGTGGGACTATAATAGAATAATTTTTCCTTTACAAAATAAAAATAAAAATACAACCATATCCTGTTTGTTCCCTTTCACTTATTCCTTCGGTACTCATTACGAGTTATGTTTGTCATTACTGTTCCTCTTAAAAACCCTTCAACTTCTGTTTTTTTGTTTTGTTTTTAAACAACACCTTCGATTTCAATCTTCGAAACAAACACACACACACACACACATCATGTTGTCGCTTCTTTATACGAAAAAAAAAGAAACGTAACATTGAAATCACTTCCTTTCGATTTGACTCTAATACAAGACATAAGACGTTTAGTAGAAAAAAAAAGCGGAGGGGGGGGCGAGATACATGGATACATAACACACACACACACAATGCATTAAAACAATGAAAAAAAGGAGAAAAAAACACACTGATAAATGTAAAAGAAACACAAGGAAGTTGAAGTAACAAAACCTTCATTATAGATTGTAGTACTTTCACAACTGCATTTTTGTTTCATAGTTTTGTAATATTACAATTATTATTCATAAATCATAAGATGAATAATGAAGATTAGTACAAAATGTGTTTTTTATGTAAATGTAATGTCTAGTAGTAGTATTATATCAAATCTAAATGGGTTATTCCAGATTCCGGACAGATCAATTTATTTAAACATATTGAGTACCTTTTTAACACTGTCAATTATCCATTTTATTCTGCCTGATTGTGTTTTGTTTGAGTATGAGTATATATACATATATAGCTTATATAGTACTTGTGTCAAAAAAGTTCTACTGTATGGGGCGGAAACCTGGAGAACTACGAAAGCCATCATTCAGAAGACACAAGTGTTAATTAACAATTGTCTACGTAAAATACTTCAGATCCGTTGGCTAGATACCATCAGAAACAACCTATTGTGGGAGAGAACAAATCAGATCACAGTGGAGGAAGAAGTGCTCGAAGTGGATAGGATACACATTGAGAAAAACACCCAACTGTGTCACAATGCAAGACCTTATATAGAATCCTCAAGGTCAAAGGAAAAGAGGAAGACCAAAGAACGCATTACACCGAGAAATGGAGACAGACATGAGAAAAATGAATAAAAGTTGGACAGAACTGGTAAGGAATGCCCAGGACAGAGTGGATTGGAGAATGATGGTCGGCGGCCTATGTTCCATTGGGAGTAATAGACGTAAGTAATTCATCATGTGTCTTTAGATTACTTTGGTCTGACTATAAATATTGAGTTACGTTTTATCAAAACGAGTTGGTTTGTTTGCTTTCACTGCTTTGTTTGGTTTTCCCGATTTTCCATCCTTAATATCTGTCTGGATGAACAAAGACTTGGAACAAATTCATTCAATACAACCCGTATTTGGCTTCTTATTACCGCCATCACATAAACAGGATTAGCCTATGTAGTATACGGAATAAGATGCAAGATTTATGTTCATAGCATATTCATTATACGTTCATCAAATGAAAGTCAGTTTAAAGGGCCACCAAAAACGAGGCATAGAGAGAGAAAGCGTGAGAAAGAAGCGAAAATGAAGAAAGTGAGACCACAATAATTAATAATCCACAATCCTTCAGTGTGCAAATCTTAGTTTCGCAGAAGATACGTTGCACATGGAATACATACTTCTCAATGGTAATAACTATGACAGAGTGACATTGTGTGATGTGAGTTCACATGGATTAGGGAGACCATCAGTCCATTCAAGATTTTATATACGTCTTATTGACAATTATTAACTAAAACGTGTTCTATCGAAGTGAATAACTGAGAGATACAACTTTTAGATTATTGTATATATTTCAATTGTCTAATAGTTACATATTTGGTTTAGTGCATTTTTATGTTGTAAGCCTACATTTCACTAATTAAATGTTGATATATGTTTTTAATAAAAATCACGAATCGATCCAAGTTCGACAATTACTGACAACCTGGAAGCACTGGGCGGCCATTTCGTCCTAATGTTGGACACCTTAGCATTTCACGTCCACGACAATGCAAGATGGAGTGATTGAGATTAAACGTGTACGCCAGTGGATCTCGGCTCAGTTGTGGTGCTTGTAAATGAAACCGAAGGCCATAGGTCCGATTTCCGTGTGTGGGGTCAAGGGTGAGCACCACTTAGAAGTCGCAAACTAGGGCGAAACGGTCGTCACATGCTTCCAAGTCTTCAGTGCTTTTTTTTTACTTAGATTGACCGGTCGATTATTTGTGTAAATATCACATATGACCTAGTTACATAAAAATTGTGATTTCCTATTTATGTTCCATGCTAGTTTTGCAATTAATGTATATAAATCTTTGAGTTTTTAAGTCAGAATGACAATACAATAACAGAAAGTAAATCTGTCTGTTTCTTTTCGTGTTCTGATCGACTATTGGTTATAGGAAGAGCTGTATTAACCGATAGGAGCTATAGTTTCCGGCAATTGTTTACGATAACTTGTGTTAAGGGTTATAGAGAAGGTCATTGATCTGATCACCCATATAGTGAATAAGTAATAAGCAGACTGTATAGACAAATACAAATTAGTATAGACATAGAGAAGTTGAATCCATAACAAAATGAAACCAATTTGTGAAGAAACGAGTTTCCAGTCGATTCTAATCAAATGATTAAGATCGAATCATGAACTACTCATAACTAAACTAAATAAAACAAAACTGTATGATCCAGACTAATAATTCATACATACTACTCGAAATATTCTACCTGCTAGTAATATTTCGACATTATATAGATAGTGAATAGGTAACACGTGTGGTCTGGTGTGTGACGAAATCTCAGCACAGATACAGAAGGCTCGATTAGTTCTTGCCAATGTGAGTCACTTATGGCGTAGGCGTGATATCCGTCTATCAACCAAAGGACGTGTTTACCGAGCAGCAGTTCACTCGGTCCTAATTTATGGCAGTGAAACATAGCCGGTAAGAGTAGAGGATATTCGTAGGTTACTAGTATTTGATCATAGGTGTCTTCGAAAAATTGCTCGTATATCCTGGGACCATCGAGTAAGTAACACAGTTGTTAGGATACGGATCCTATGTAAAGATGGTAAATCAATTGATGAAGTAATGAAACTTCATCAGTTAAGATGATTGGGACATGTGTTACATATACCCAACCACCGATTGCCTCGACGTACGATGCTCAATGGTATAGGAGTAGGTTGGAAGAAAACTAGGGGCGGCCAGAACAAAACATGGCACAAGTTCATGAAGTCACTGAAAAGTGGACTGAGCCATGTCGGTAAGTGTAGACTACTTGGTCGGGGATCGCGAGATGGTAGCAACCGATGGTTAGAGACTCTGAATGACATGGCTCAAAATCGTTTGCAATGGTGTGCGCAGGTGCATCCATTCTTTGTGTTCTCTCAAATTCTAATCTCCTAATTCCTCCTTGTCTCTTTTTTCTCTTCCCAAATTTATTTCACTAGATTATACTCCTTGAATAATATCTTCAAACCCTAATGTTTCCGATTACTGCTTATACTCTTACTACCTCTACCACTATGGGATTTGAATCGACCACTCCATCTCTGTGCTAATGTGGTGTCGCAACTCGAACTGATGTACGTACGTACGAAATTCTACGTTGTTACCGACTGACTGACTGAACAGGTAACACAAATCAATCATCATAAAACTATTAATACAAGGACAAGAGAAATATATTTAACAAAAGAAAATTGATTTTTTAAAAACTCACATGCATTTCGAATTCGTTGAAGTCGACCATGTGTTAAAAAAGCTAGAAAAAGAAACATTAAGAAAAGAAATCATGATGTATTATACAAGGATGAGTATTGTTGAAGTTGAACTTTTGGAACTATCCCACCTGAAGTTTAGTATTCACAATCTTATTCTTTGATTGCTAAATAGTGATATTATTGTATTCTCCTATTTGTAAGCTTTTTGTTAATGAATAAATTTTTTTTTGTTGTTTCGTCTATATTTTTTGAAGTTACTGTTAACATAATACGAACCTACTACGCAGTTGACGAGATGTATAATTTATGGACGAAATCAATCAGGTATAAGATAATAGGACTTGGATTTTGGCACGAAATTCATTCATATAATTGGCTACATATTATTTCGACATCATAGCTGATGTCAATTCGTGATGAAAATCCTAAATCTAATTCTTAACCTTAACTATTAACTGTAAATTATAGTTCCAATTCGTCAAACTGCTTTATAACCTTCATTTGGTTCTAGTTATCAGGTGGACACTCTCAATGTTAGTTTAGCGTCGCTTAAAGGTTGTTCTTCTCTACATGTGATGTGGTTATGTTATTACTGTAATTTCAGGATTATGTTGATGTATGGTCAAGATTTTACGCTATACCATTGTATTAGCTTTGAGTTGTGATTGAATTCAGATTAAAAGAGATGGGCTAATTACTTTTCATTGGAATTGAAGTAGAGGAAAGAGGGAAATACGTGGATAGTAGACCAATAGAAGATTAGGTTGTATTAGTTTCAGGCTAACTGGGAAACATAGACGTATAATTCGTCAGGTCTAGGATATTAGGTTACAGAATACAGAAAATAATAATCAAAATTGTGATTAGTGACTTTAGTATGTGATACGATAACTGTACACCAACTATAAAAATATGAGTATCGGTTAACCTGTAGAAACGAATATACTGGGCAATGTGACGTATTAGTTAGAGTACTAAACGTTCCAATTGTCAAAAGTATCAATTTCGAACAGTTTCTTCAACTACTTAGATTGGCATAGTTGCATAGAATCACTAAAACCTTACATAATCAGTACAACTAAAAGAAGATTACAGCAACAAAACAGAACTGTAATGTAGAACCGTTAAGATAAGCGACAAATCCAGTCAACGAATCTTTAAACAGAACAAAAAAATTTCTGTTTCATTATTCTAACTTGCGTAGTTGTTTGGTTATCAGAAGCTTTGAAATTCAAGAGTACTTTAAAAAGAAATAACCAGATGAGTAGGAATTTGTTGATTACTTAGGTGAAAATTAACATTGTTACATCGAATGTTAACATTCACTATACTCATCAATTATTCAAAAAGTCTACCCTAGCAACAATCAGCTTTAACAAAGTTAGTAAGGATAAACAATGATGCAAATCGATTGCAGAACAGTGAGGAGTGGGGTAATTATTAATAATAAATGTGACAGAAGAGAAGAAAGGAGTGTTCGCTTCCTCATGTTTCCACTCATCATCTCTCAATACACTATTTCGTCTTTGGAAAACATTTGAAAGCATGTAATGGAGTGTAAAAATAACTAGAGAACATTTACTCGAAATGATCGATACAGCACGAATAGAGGAAGTGATAAGAGAGGCAGAACAAGTGAGTAGAGTAGATACAACAAAACAATATCACAACTGTCGTGTGTACAACGCATGTCAATCTACCTATATCCCAAAAGTTTCCATTCATTACATTGTGTTTGAGCATTGATGCAATCATCACAACACACGTACACACACATCCATACACATCCGTTTATCAACTCAGTCAAAACAAACTTCAAACAGAAGATGATTTGTTATTCTACTCGAGAAATTGTATCAGTAATGCTGTGTGCATATTCACCATGTCTGTGTATGAGTGCACGATTGCAAGCCCTGCTCACTTCCCAATAAATTGCATTCTCATAATCAATAAAGAAATAGTGATAACGATGACTGCAATGACGGACAGATAAAGATGAAGGTCTTAACATTATAACGAAACAGTTTAAAACCGATTGCTTAGAAACGATGTATTATAATGGGACATTTCTCACCAATCCATCAAAACTAGTCACATTATGCATTGGTGAATAGAGAACAATTGAGAATGATTGATTTATTCTGATATAATACAACTACTACGAAGACGACGACGACGACTCAGTAACCGATTATACATATTCGTGTACTTGGCATTCGGTTAATGATACCGATCGATTATTCTAATTGAAGTAGGTGTGATTGGCCTTGAAATTGAGAACAATTAGTTGGAATTGCAATGTTCTACTCACTTAATCATTACCCTGATAGTATTTATGTGCATATTTAACTGTAATATGATCGATCGTATTTGTGGTGCAGTATTGAGCTTAGCTTATGAACAATAAGTAACTGTCGATTTTGGTTTAATTGACAAGATTGTAATCAAGGTTTGAGATGTCACCACTGATCTATGCTACTTGTATTGATTATATTGAACAAAATGTGGAATAATCAGTGATCTATGGAAACTAGAAAGATAACTCTGGAAAAGTATCGATGACGTTCGTAAGCCGACCAAAGAAAAAAGTATGATGCATAGTAATTCATAATTCTCCCGTTAATGGTCGTGAAACGAGGCTTTTAGTAAACAGAGAATATATGTAGGTGATTGTTATTCGATCATAGTTGCATTGGAACTTCTGTTCATATATGTCAGAACGAATGAGTAAGTAGTACTGAGGTTGAAGGGAGATTAATGGGTAAAATAATAACAAATCAACCGACGCGTTTTTGGAATCTTCACCAAAACAAACCATAATATAATATCAGTCTATTTAGTTATTGAGGTTAGACGGAGAATACTGGGTAAATGAACAAATCGACTGTTGCCTTTTTGGGATCTTCACCTGAATGATGTCGTTGGGATAGTTTTTTCTACCTACCTATACATAACACAATATCTTAGTCGACATACAATATTCTCTGATGTAGGAATAGATTGAAAGAAAACTAAAGAGGAACAAATCAAAAAATATAACATCAGTCTATTAAGTTATTGATTATTGATTTGAGCAATGTTGTTATAGATACAGATTACTAGATTAGTAAGTAAGTAGTATTGATCTGCTTTTTCAGAGAAATAATCATAGATTCAAGTAAATGGGATCATTGAATATACACGTTGCTGAATATAAAAAAACAAACAAAATTTCTCATCAAATTTTCTAGTTAAACAAAATGTAAACAAATTTCAGTGGAACAACAAATTACATGCACACACACACACACATACACACACACCAACACGTTATCTGATGAATATAAGTGGATAAGTTAAAAATCACGTCAATAAAATGACGATGACGACAACAACAACAGTATCAACGACATTCAGAATGATTGACTATATGGAATCGAATAATCATATCGACAATCTATCCTTAGATACACAGATTGACACGACCAGGATATGTATATACATACGTATATATACCTACCTATGCATATAAAGCCATCAGCTCTGAGTCTACATCACAGTAATTCACATAACCTGGTTTCAATAATAATAATGTTTCTTCCAACTCAATACTTCACAGATATTTTAAGAGAAAAGGTATCTAACGGAGAATTAATTAAAAGAAAATTATCCCATTTTAATTATTTGTGTTAACACAGATATTGACATGTATCAGTATGAAAGTGCATGTGCATGTGTGTGTGTGTCATGAATGAGCTGATGGAAGAACTCAGTTGAACAAGAGATAATTAGAAATGAATGAATGAATTAGATAGAAATGAATGTGGGGGGGGGTGAATGATAATTTAATTAAAATTAAGAATACTACTAATATTATTGATACTACTGATACTACTACTACTACTGATAATAATAATAATAATAATAATAATAATAATAATAATAATAATAATAAAGTTAATTAATAAAGGACCAACATATCTTTATTGAATTTGATTAAGTGACAGAATAAATATCACTTATTGTTGTGATGAAATGTATGACCCAGAAAAGAAATCGACAATGAATTATTAGTGTAATTATGCAATTTATCAATGTTTACATGCATATCTACTTGACTGGTTATAATAAGCTAACTAGATTGATTAGCTCAGTGAATAAAAGATACTGGGTTCAAGTCCAAGAGACTAGAATGTTAGTACATCACAGACGAATGAGTCCTAAATAGGATGAAACGCGTATCCTAAACTTCACTACAAGGTTCACAGCAAATTTACTAAAAATTACTACATAATATTAGTAGGAAAAGTCTTTAACAGATATCAAAATGTTTCTATGATTAGTGAATAGGAACATGGATACCATTGATAGAAGCATCAGAGCCGACAAATGCCCAATTTTAATCGGTTAAATGAATGTGTGGGCACCTTTCTGTGTGATCTGGAACGAGTCAAGATAACTCATATTTAGTCACCCTTGCTTAACTGATTCGAGTGACCAACCTTATAATGTTCACTTTTTTAACAGCATTTGAAAGCAGTTAGCAACACCTATGTCTTTGCCTTCATCCGATAAGACTTAACAGACTAACTAATCGATTGTTCACATATTTTGTCATGTTTTTCATACATTTCTTATCTCTTCCTTATAACTTACATATTTCAACGTATTAATCATTCACTTCTCATTACGTAATGTTCGACAATTTTTATCTTATTTTCACAAGTGTTAATTTACTACCTACGTTGATATATTTATTTGTGTTATAGGGAATGGTACTATGTAAAGTCATCATAGGTTATTCTAGCCCCTCAACAGACCAATCTATTCACTGCTGGAGAGTCCCGTACTGGGACGAAGTGGCCCACCAGTGATTCCAGGTTCCCATTGATGGTTCAACATTGATCAGTTTGTGATTTCAATGAAACTCAACAATCTCCACAACCATATATTTACAAACAAATAATGACTTGAAAAATAGTTCCAAAACTTCTAACTTCTTCAATAGTCGATCCATTGTAACAATGACAACATTGTATGTTTAGAAATACGATTAATTGCAAGCCAAATCAAATTAAACTATTCAACAACGATGGTAATTACAAGTGCTAAGACCATTAAATGAAGAAATACAAGGAGCGATATCATGCTATGATCTGATTTGTTTCACCTTAATAATTAAATCAGATGTTAAATAACTAGCCTACTAGATGTACTCAATATACATCATCACCACTAATGTTCACGATTAATGTAATTAATTATGATGAAAATTTAGCGTTTGAAATTTTACCGATCAAATAGAAAAATCAGATTGTATAATCAAGTAGATTGTTTAGACCCGACCGTTGTTGATACCTTGATGTGGTGGTTGGCCTTGCCTATCATGATGAACCGATCGAGCTATACTGGCTGTAACAACCGTTCCTCAACGTCCTATTATGTCATACAGGTCGGTTGAAGAGCGGTAAGACTAAAAGCAACAAACTCAAGGTCCGAAGGCGAGGTCGTACTGCTAACTGTACAGAGGTGTGACAGCAGTAAGCTGTTTCCTTCAGACAACCAGTATGACAGCGATGCTGCCTTCTCACAGGGAGGGGTGGGTGGGTTAGAAAAGGTCGACCCTGAGGATGCACACCTCGCCGGCTTATCCCACGGATATCCGTCTCCGGCGGTAAGGTCTCAACAAGTACAGAGCTAACACAAAAATTACTCACAAAAATCTCGTGTGTGACCGACCTCAACCAGTTTTACCTTGGTCACTGAGGTCACGCTCTCAAGTCACTAAGACCACCTCTAATCCAATATCCTTATTAGGTACCTCCAGAAAAACCCTTCTATGGTGCGGGCAACCGGAAAGTGAGAACCGCCCTCATACCTCTAACAGCACTCTAGACGTACGCACCCCAGATTGTATAGAATGTCAGTATTTAACTAGTATCTAATTTTTTTTTATCTAGACTGATTGAGAGAATATTTTAAATGTGTAATGTTAAATGTTTGAAACAATCAACATTCAATTAGAAAGTTATCAGTTTGTATTCTTCTAAAAATTCACAATGGTTTAAGAAATCAAATTGATTTACTTATTCACTAACTGTCAACATTACAGTACTTTGTACTAGATAAATAGGTTTGTAATAGACGTGAAGGCAAAGATTGGCAAAGTAAGGACAGTATTCCTACAGTTGAAGAACATATGCAACCCAAAACAACTGTCAACCAACATCAGAATTCCCTATAAGAACGTCGAAAGTTTTACTGTACGGAGATGAAACTTCAAGAACTATTATAACCATCATCAAAAAGGTACAATTATTTATAAACAAATGTCTATATAAAATGTTTTATGTCCGTTGAGCGGATACCATCAGCAACAGCTTACTGTAGAAGGGAACACAAACCAACTTCCAGCTAACGAGGAAGTTAGCAAAAAGACTATGAAAATGTATAGGACATACAATACGGAAATCACCACACTGCATCATGAGGCAAGCACTAACTTGGAATCCTGAAAGGAAAGGGAAAAGACGAAGGCCGAAGAACACACTTCATCGGGAATCGGAAGCAAACATGAAAACGATGAATAGAAATTCGAAAGGATTGCCCAGGACAGAGTTGAATGGAAAATGCTGATGAGTGGCCTATGCTCCTCCACGAAGGGTAACAGGCTTATGCAAATAAGTAATTCAAAGTAATAATAATAACTATTATTTTAATTAGTATTAATACTTAAAATTTACGCATAAGTAACAAATAGACATACGTTCATATTCAGTTTTTAAATTATTTTCAAGTAGCATATATGGAAAGTAACCAGAGAAATCCATCAAAGCTGGATCAGCTTCTAAAAAGAAATGAACGATTGCATACATTTACACAGTACAATATTTCAAATCTGTCATTAATTGATAACAACTGATTACAATTACATATAGTTTTCCAATTAATATTAACTCTTCTAACAAACTTCTTTTGTTAAAAGTGAGTCAATATAGGGGAATACAAAAATGTAGATTGAGAACTACCTGTTCAGATTGAAGTAACTACTTCTTTGCAAGCAATAGTCTCGTAAATGTATTAAACATATCTGATTCCATTAGTGAATATGGAGGATCCACCTAGAGGAATCAGAAAATCTTGATTTCATGCCAATAGTGAACATGGATTCCACGATCCTGAAGGAACAAATGGTGTATGAATCGATTGTTCGTCATCGACTACCATGGGACTGCATCTTCTTACGTTGTTCCACTGCCTTGTGGATTAGATCTTTAGGTTGAAGGAGCCGAGTGTGGCCCCTTAAGAAAACTAACTGCTACGATCTAGGCACCCGGGCAGTATCACAGCCCACACACACACACAAATCAAATGACTTGTGTAGCGCTTGTGTATTCGGTGCTCCATTGTACCAATATTTATGTGTTCAAATAAATAAATAAATAAATAAGATTCTATTGAATATTGATCCTAACAATGAACTATTTAGATAAGTTAAATATTGCGACAAATTAGGATGTTTGAAGAAACATCAAAGGATTTCACTGAAATTGCACAATTGTTTTGTTAATCAAGTTGAAAAAAAAACAAAACGTATAGGCTTGAAACTATTAATGAGAAGTTATTAACACTTAACAGTAGTTCGGTACTACTCAATAAATCTGTTAGTTTATCTGAAATTTATTTATTATTTATTTTAACACATAGATATTGGTACAAGGAGGCACCAAATATATATGCGCCACACAAATCTCATCTGATATGTGTGAGGGCTGTGATACTGCTCGGGTGCCCAAACCGAAGCAGGTGGTTTTCTTAGGGGGCCACACCCTGAGCCTTCGACCTGAAGGTCTAATCCACAAAACAGTGGAGCAACGTACGGGGATGCAGTTCCATGTAAGCCGGTGACCAACGATTAATTCATACGCCATTTGTTCCTTCAGGATACTGGAGCACATGTGCATGGTTTTCCAACTCCCCTAGATGGACTCTCCATGTCCACCAAGCCGGTTAAAGCGCCGGACATTCGCTTTTCGTTCTCTCAATTCCGTAAACAACAGTATTGCCACGAGAAGGCAGTGAGTAGGACTTCCCTGGCAGTGGTCGTATGCACATGGAGAATCTTAAATTTGATACGAATTGTAGCATTTACCATGTTATCGTAAAGATGTATATCGAATAGTTGATTAGTTTAAGAAAAATCTGTCTAAATCAATAAGTTATAAAACCACCGAACACATTGAAGCAACAGGCCTATCATCACAATCATTTTTATTGTTCCGTGTTTCCGTTTTTTTCTTCTCCCAGATTGTAGATGTGTTTTACTGACGGCACTAAAACTGGCCTTTGTTATAAAAATTCACCATCATAAATGAAGACCTAGCTTTCCTCCTCCTCCTTCTCCTACTACTACAAAGAAAATACTGGTTTCCAAATGTTGTTTTATACCATAAAAACCTTTATGGTAAATGTCCTATGGAAACGAATAATGACTTGTACATTCTCAAATAATATCATCATGTTTTTCCCTTAAATTTATCATTCTTTCTTATGTCAGCTTAATCACGGCTGTGAATGGCATATAACTCCACCTAGAGCCCTTCTCGTGTTAATGCCCTTCCTAAGCACGGATAAGGAAGGAGAGTTGGGCGCGGAGTCATAATACACATGCCATAGAAAAGAACTATGACGAAAAGAAACGCTAACCAGACAAAATCATTTAAACCATTTAAACTCTCTCGTCGGAGTTGAAAGGTATTCATTTAGAAGAGTTATGAATCCTCAAGCTAAAAGTCGACATTTTCCGAAGATCAAGAGACCAGCCCTCCTTCTAACAACCAGAGTAATAATTAAAATAGGTAAGCGGAATTTCCGTAAAATGTGTGAGACTTTAGGGACCAGTCAAATAGCTAAGAAAATGAGGAGATATAATTAGTCAGTGCACGAAATAAGTGAAACTCATTAGACCAAAGCTGGACAGAAACGGTTAGATTCAGAAAAAATGGTGTCGTATTCTGATCATGAAGAAGGAAATGCTTCATACAAACAGGAATTTGCTCTGATGCTGTCTAAAGAAGCACGTAAAACATCTAATTAATGGAAATATCATGGATCCACAATTATTAAAGTATCCTTCAGAACAAAGAAGAAGAGGATCACAATGAATGTCATCTACTAATGATGGCAATGAAGACGATAAAGATCAGATCAGGAGAGCCCAGGACAGAGGAGTTTAGAGATTTCTGGCTGGGGGGGGGTATTCTCCACTAGGGGTAACAGGCATAAGCAAATAGGTAATAAAAATCACATGCATTCTGTAAGTATTTCCGTAAATATTAATTTATTTACCTTGTTGAATTTGAGAAAGAAACGAAAAATTCTACTTACTGAAATCATCAACTAATGCACGAATAACAACACGTTGTGAATGAACAACAGCAATATGTAAGGGTGTACGTCCCTATTGAAAAAAAGAAATACAGGCAAATCGATAAATAGTAATAAAATTCATGTGTAACATCACCCATTAAAAACATGTACGAGAATACAATGAATTCAGTATTAAAAATATTCCCCAACAACATTTTAGAAGTGAAAATTTAGCATGAAAAATGACAGGATTATTAAATGTGACTTAATGATTAGGATGATAATAAAAATCTTTGAATATCATTCACATATATAAATCTCATTCCACCTACATCATCAATAGTAGTATCTATAGGAATGTGATTAAAATAACCGTAATGAGTTTCTAACCATTATGGAAAACCTGAAATCACTAGATGGCTGTTTCGTCCTAGCATAAGACTTCTCAGTAGTGCACATCCACGATAACGCCTCACGAAGATTCGAACACAGGACCTGTCAGTATCGCGCGTGAGCGATTAACCACTAAGCAGACTCATTGGTGACGATCTCCAAGATGTATTTCTTGAAGTTCTTGTGGGAAACAGTGACCACTGGAGTTCAACCAAGTCTGTTGTGAAATAGTAACTCACTAAAGACAATGGTGGATGGTGGCGCAATTTTGTCGATTGGTTGAAGTTAGACATGAACAGCGTTAGATACCGGTCGGCTCAGTCGTCTAGAGGTTAAGCGGTCACGCGCGAGACTGATATATCCAGGGTTCGAATCTCGTGAGGCGGGATCATGGATGCGCACTGCTGAGGAGTCCGACAATAGAACGAAACGACCATCCAGTGCTTCCACGTTTTCCAAGGTAGTCTAGTTTTAATTGACTCATGAATTAAACTATTGAATTGCTAAAATCTCCACAAAACCCCGTTTCTGATTATGATTATTATTAGAGAGAGAAAATGAGCAGTTATTTATATTATTGCATAGTACAAATGAACTTATCAATTACATGATTAGGTATTAAAAATGACATTATTCTAAAAGAGAGAGAGAAAGAGGAGGAGGAAAAAAATTTGAGAAGAGTAATATGATAATACATTGCATTTCATGACATTGACGACAGCTACAACTCGCAACTTAGAAGTTAAATAGACTTATACAAATGAAGTTGAATGAAAGTGATATATATACGTATCACTAAGTGGGAATGACAAATCCCAACAGAGTTCCAGATAAATAAAATATAAGAAAGAAGGTCACAGAGATGGGAAATTTTTACTAATGATAAGGTTAAGTAGAATTTGTAATTTAAACTATTTGGAATCTTAACAATCTCCATAAATCCGTATAGTGAAAATAATTGAATAGATGAAGTTCTGTTCTCTGAACTGAATGGTTTATAGTCATGAATCTTTCATTATTCTTCTGAACAACAACATCAATATAAATTTAAGATAGAAGTGAAATGTTTGAATTTCTTCACATATAACTAACACTCACAGTTTTTTCTTCTTGTAGACTTCGATGAGAATTAGTTGTTGGTAAGATTTAATCTATCATTGTCTACCTTTAAACCATACAGCTTAGAGAATAAAAGCTCACCTAAATCATCCACTTAAGCTACAAATCATTTTAAATAAAAAAAAATAAGTATAAAAGGAGATCAATGAAACAATGTGCATCATCAACTGGAAATGAAGGTTGAGATGAATGGTAATCAAGAAATTTGAGTAAATAACAACAAGAATAAACTAGATTGAAATCATGAACTGCTTGATGTTCGGCCAACATTGACAACCTGGAAGCACTGGACGGCCGTTTCGTCCTACTGTAGGATTCCTCAACAATGCGCATTCATTATCTCACTCACAGGATTCGAACCCAGGGCCTTCGGATTTGCGCGCAAATGCTTAACCTCTAAACTACTGAACCGACATCCAATGGTGTTAATGTATAATCTCAATCAATCCACGAAATTACGCGACCATCTTCGATTGTCTGGGGTAGATACTTATTTCTACCTGATATGGATTAGCTCCACTGGTTCGAACCCCGCGAGCAGGTTCGTGGATGCGCAGTGTTGAGCAGTCCAACAGGAAGACGAAACGGTCGTCCAGTGCTTCCAGGTTTTCAATGATGGTCTAACATCAACCGGTTCATGATCTCAATCAATAACATAATAATCTCCACAACCCTAATCTGATAATAAAATTAAAACGGTTTTATAAACATTGAAATGACAATGAAAAAGAAAGCGAACAATTAAATAAGCAAAAGAAAACTACTAAGATCATGGTAAACACAGTGATCTAAAGAAAAGTTGTTTCTGTATTAACAAATTAGATTTTGACTTGTGAATGATCAAAGTTTCTGCACTGTAATATAGGTTGAGGCGCAAATGTTTTGGTGTTTTTAAATGGACTCTTTTTTCAATGATGTTAATGGTTGAATTCGAAAAAATACAGTCTTGAACTACAATGTAAGCATGTTTGAGATGTGTTTCTTCTACACAAAATGAAAAATTTCGCTTTTGAACTGGTCCGGCATCATCAATTAACTACTGATGAAGCCTGGATGTAGAAGTAGCAAAAATGTAACGGATGCTACTCACAAGGATATTTGTAAGTAATATGAGCCGGAAAGTGGCGTCAAAGTCGCAACAATTGTCGGACAAAGGGAAAAGTTTCAGAACATCAAAAGGATGGCGTTGACTGAACACTTGAAGGCTTGTAGAGAAAACAGTTCAGATTGCAGAACACATTGATCGAAGGCTATGTTTATGTATTTCTATAAATACTTTGGAAACTCTCGAAATAAAATACCTACCTACTGTCTATTGTAGCGTTTTATAGAAACAACTTTAAAGCCTAAGACCTAGTAGTACAGAAAGGTTGTATGAATCTATGTACTTATGAGCGATTACAAGCACTACTACTTAACATCTATAACAATTGGCTACGATAATCTACTAAAACTTTTCAATCCAATAGTCGATGACTTCAGGGATTGATGCCATATTTTTGTTTGTTTCAAATTGGCATTCTTTTCATCTACTCCTAAGTTACAGAAAGTTTTGGGTTAAGGTAGGCGGTTGTTAGGGATACGTAATGCATGTCTGACACGCCTCAGTTGATGAAAATCCACTAACTCATCAACACAATTACCATTTTTGCATAGTACCATGCATCCACACTCTCAGCATTGATCATTAGATGGTGCTAACATATGTGAACAATGCTGCAAAGATAACAATAATCAAATCCTAATGATCCATGAATTTCCTATACTATTAAAGGTCAACTCTTACAGCTCCTTCCACAATCGATGATAATCCGTGATGAATTTTATCTTTAAACAGTGATCACGATTGAAAAGTTATGCATGAGTGTGTAAGAATACGTGAACCATTCGCATGAATTAATATGGACAGTGCAGCCAATTGTAACCATCCAGCTCAGAGCACAAAACTCCATCAAAAACACCAAAGTTAATTTATTAACCAGATTATTATATACCTCACTTTAACGTACAATATAAAGAAATATTCACTAAAAATTTGATAAATAATGGAGGGAAAAGAAATAGAACACAAATATCAACTCACATTCTATCACATAATAATAGCCAAAATGAAATTGATGGTTTTTCATTGAGATATTGGTATGTTAAGAGAGATAGAGAAAAAAAGAGATGAAAAGACATTTTAAAATGAAAAGTATATAATCTCAATGATATGTTGAAATAATATACATAATAACGAATGACAAAATTCGGATTTAATCCACAATGTATATTGAGGTTCGAATTAAATGCTTCAATATAAAATATACTACTAAATTAAAATTATAAGTAGTTACATACAAAAGACACAAATTCCAACTCAGTGTAGTGATATACACACGCTTTATTTGTTGGGTTCGTGATATTTTTTACCCTACTATGTAATTACAAAGTAAGATTTTAATCATTTGAAGATATTGTTCGTTAGTTAGGTAAAGCTCTTGCAAGACTTTCACACTTTTTCACTTGATGTAATAATGTTCTGATGTAACTGTTATCTTTTTTTTACATTGAAGACATCTGTTTTGCCTAATTTAGAAATTGTACATTTGAAAATAGTTTTCTTCGTGATTTTCTTGAAATTCCAACACATATCATATGTAAAGCACTGACAGTTTCTTTAAATTTCAATAAACGCTTGTACAAATCCACTTGATATTGTTTACTTGAATTTTTCCATTGATGATTAGGACTGGAAATGATCAGTCTCTTATTGGCATATATGCATACTATGCGTATTGCCTCGATATTACCTTAATTCACAAGCATTATAAGCAGAGGAATCCGGTGGAATTAGTACTCAATAGCTAAGTGTGTAACCCGATAGCATTTGAAGCGAACGGTACTGCGTTAGAGCGCCAGAGGGAACAACAACTCGTAGATGCAGGTACAGTCATCAGCTGACGAGTCCAAAATAGGACGAAATGCGCGTCAAACTAGATTCCACTGCTAACCACTCTCCATTTTTGCTTATAAACGTTCATACATTTCAATTTTTAACAAATAACAAATGTTAAATATGTACACTTCAAGATGTGAACTTATTTCAGACATCATAACCATCGAACAGTTTACGAATCGACTTTATAACAATTAACAATAAATATGGGATATATAAAACATATCTTCTGTTCATAAAATAATAAATATAGATCTCTATTATCTACAGACAGATGTAATATAACAGTTAAATGTATATTACATATTTTTATAAAAATGTGAGATAGAAGAGGTCATAATAAAGCCTTAGATATAAAATTATATGGGAAACTTTTCAAAATTAATGTTAAGAGTAGAACTACACAAATATTTCCACAGATCACTTAATGACACAGTATATTGGAATCAAACCAGATTTTTTTTTAAAATGATAATATTCATGCACAGTTACTGTATACATGAGATAACCAAACTATAGTGAAGAATCAATTCAGGAAGTCCAATGTGAACTTTGGTCTCAACAAATACAAAGGGAAAAGCAAGATTCTCCGACACAACACAACACAACATGCAACAATCAAATCACACTTGACGGATAAG